ATTTAAAATTAGCTTAATATATACAATACCCTGCTAATACAAAATAAAAAATTGATAGCCAAAATTAGTCTATTATCAATAAAATTCTACATGCTGATCCAGGATTTCATATTGATAATAAATAATATTGACTAGAATATACAAGTAGTGTTTGACAACAAGCTTATCTGCATTAGTCCAGGGTTTCCCACTGGAGATACAAGTCATTCTTGCTGCACCATTCCTACTACAGTACCAACATAGCAAAGACTACTATTTCAGGATTTTTTACTAGAGACAACATTAATGTTGTATTGATACTTGCAAGTACTATCTTATATCAATATGGATCTGCTTGTACTAGTCCAGGGTTACCCACTAGAGGCACATAGCATGCTTAATCAATACAAAATATAAAGGGCATATTGATTTAAAAATTTCTTCACTTACTTTTTGCAGAAAGAAATCAATAATTTTTTGCAGCTTTTTAACTTATATTGCTTGGTTCATACTAGTTGAATAGTGTTATAATCAATACTAGTAGCAATAAAGTAATAGTAGATTATTATAGTATTGATAAATATTGCTTACTTGTTTATGATATAAGCTAAAGACTTGTAATTGATTATAGCTGGAATCGAAAAACTGGGAAACGAAAGCAAATGTTATAGTTAGTATTAACAAGAATAAAATAATAGCAACAACATATACAGTATCAACAAAATATTGCTTATCTGTGATTATAGAATGTAAAACTTGTGGTCGACTGTAGATTGATAGATGAAGTGATTGGGAATTAACAAAGTTAAAGCTAACTATTAAATGGCTGATAAAATATAAAATTAAAAAAAACATATATATATATCAAGCAAAAGCTATAACAAGTTGGCAAAAATATAAGGGCAGCTAGTGTGTTGCTTATACTAGTTGGTAGAAGGAACTGTTTAGCAGTAACAATAAAATCGATTACAATTTTTTTTATAAACCAATTATTATTTTTTATAAATTGATCACATCTAATCGCATATTTCAGATTTTATATAGATTTATATTTATATTTATAATATTGATCTACTATATTATCAATTTTTAAAAATTGCGATTTTTAACAATTACAATTTTTAATAATTACAATGCTTGCATCAGGCCAACAATTATATTACTCCTACTTGTAATTTTAATATTTATGATAACAATACCTACTTTGAAATTATCTGTTTTAACAATTGCTTCTTCAATAAAACAATTCTATTTTAAACTCCAATAAATATAACTTTAATGACTATAATTAGAGCTGATAAGTTTTTTATTTAATATATTAAATGCTATTTTATATATAAATAATATCAAAATTTACATGTCAAGTAAAATTTTAATCGCTGCTTGCTGAGACTCTTGTCATCATAACTTTAAACACATGTATACCTTTACTGTTTTATTTAAAGCCAGTTTATTTTATCAGTAATTAAATTTTTGCTAGTCAAAAAAACCTGTTCCACAGATACACTAGTTGCAGATATTTCTAAGTAATCATGTGCAATACATATCAAATATAAAAATTGTTGTTCATTTATTTTCTACCATTTCAAAAAATCTATTTTCTCTGTTATTTGAGGTAATGAAAAATATAGTTATAATTCATTTTGGTTTTCTATATATCATCACTTGAATAATTTTGCCCTAATTGTATTATATGTCTCACTCATTTTGGTAGCTTCTACAGTTCTTGAATTTAGTTCTCCATATTCTTGAAAAATATCATTAACACTAGAAATAAAAAATATTAATATTAGCAAGTTATATTATAAATAAGTATAAATATAATAAATATATTTATATTTTTATTATCTCTTTAATTAAATTTCTCCAGCCATTTCCAACAAAATATTTTATTTTAAATCACAGATCTAAAACAACTGCTAGTATATAAATTTTATTTGTTTTGTTATAGTATTTTAAAATTTTATCCTAATATATTCTTGCTACTTCTTTAATATTTGAATTAATCCTATTATTGTCAATAGTATCTTTCAAATGGTCAATTAAAATATTATATAATGAAATTGAAATAGAAAGTATTGAATATGTTGATGCTAATGCCATTGTAGTTGCTTCATAAAAATACTTGAAAAATTTTGTTATTTGTTTAAATATATTTCAATCACTATCTGTAAATATATAGGAATTACATACACTTTTTCTGCTGATCTTCTGACCACACACAAAAAAGATATTTGCAAGAAGTTTTAATACTTCTATGCTAATAAAGTCTTACTACTTTCTTTAAACCAATCCAAAGAGTTCTCTTAGAACTTTCTCACCATTCCTTCCCTCTTGTCTACAATCTCCTTTGAATAAACTGAACTCTTGTGACTTGCAAAGTTCAACTCACACCTTTACTACCAATGGCAAGAAAGTTTCTAAAGGGAAAAGAACTAACAGTGAAGTATCTTTCACCTCTTAGTTATAATGGAGATAACAAAGGTTAAAACCAGTCAAAGGACTTAATTTTCCACCCTTTGACTGGTGTTGTGTCCTCTCAAAGCTATCTTTTTTACAGCTTTCTAGAGAATTTTGCCTATCTCAGTTTGACCCTGAAATTTCGGGTTGCACAAATCTCACCAACTCTAATTGGTCGACATAAAATATGTTAGACAAGATTAATAAACAAGCTTCTATTGGCCACCTCACATGTCTAAATGCATTTTCTTAGCTCTATAAGAACTTGGGGTCCATCATAAGTCATTTTGTCTAACATAGGTGAATACAGGACATGGTATCAACACATTATTGGATATAAGAAAAAGTCTGTCCAAATATGATAAAGGTCACAAGATGCTCAATTGATCTTTTCTCAAGTCAGAGCTATCTATATCCTGATTGTATGTCAGATAGGTTCCAACCTCTACTGCCCGGAAAGTCTAAATTAGAGAAAGTATAGAGTCATTAAGGACACTCAGTAATAAAGCTTATGTGCAAAGTAATCCAGGAAGTTTTCATTCTATATTCAAAGAATCCTGAACTGGAAAACTGGAAGGTTAACATCATTACACCAATCAAATCTCGAGTTCAAAAATGTCAGCAGTGACGTGCGAGCCAGCTAAAATGTCTGGAAAATCCTCATTGATTGTTAGTACCAATAGTCACTAGCAGGATATATTGATTACAAGGCTAGGTGCTATTCTTCATATAAGGAATTAAATCTGAAATAAGATGTAACAGATGGATAAGTATACTTCTATTTAGATAGAAATGGATTTAATTGACGATATATTGGAAGACTTTCAAGTAAATAATGTGGATATCAATATACTATCTGGGTCTTCTTGACTACTCCCTCCCCATAAGCCTTAAAACTGTATAGTCTCCTCTTTAGTCTCCACCTTATTTCCGTAAAAGACTCGATAGGTTTTCTCCATACCTTTCATAAGAGGAATTTAAACAAGACAAGTATGCATCAAGAAACCAGATCAATACATTTCACATGACTATACAATTTTTTTTTATTTCTTTTATTTTCATTTTATGATACTAACATGCTCTAGGGATACTGGTTTTCTTTGGCAAAAAAAAGGGCAATAAGTCTCAAAGTTACTTTAGAATATCTTTAGCTTATTGTTATTTTTATCTTCCTCAAATATACATCCATATATTCATACTTTGCATAATATAAACTTGTAATTTGGGATTCAATAAAGTTAGGTATGAGCCTATTAAAAAAAAAAAAAATTGTAAATGCATAGTTTTATAATTTTTGACTTGATATCATAAGATATTTAATTGCCTACAAATATATAGTAAACTGTTAAAATTATATTAAATAAATGTTAAATAATATGAGATAAACATACTGTTTTTAGCTGCATAGTATATGCAAATCTGTTATATATTGAATTCTATTGAGTTTCTACATCTCAAATAGGTTTTAAAGTTTCTATTTGTTGCAAGTATCATTTAATTTTTCTAGTCGATGAGATGATGATCATATTTTTACAACCAGTTTTCATAACTATATATAAATAAATTAGTAAATATCAAAAACTATATACTATATATACCATATTTAAAATATCTAAATAAAAGGAAAACTCTTTCCACTGATCCTCTAACCATATATAAAAAAGATGTTCGCAAGAAGTTTTTGCTTTTTTGCTAAAAAAGTCTTTAATGTTTTTCTTAAAACACTTTGAAGAGTGATTTAAAGAGCTATTTCTACTCTTCTTTTATTTATTTACAATCCTCTTTGATCAAAAACTTGACTTCTGGTAATCAAAAATAAGTCAAGTAATACCTTTGATATTAATGGTAAGAAAGTTTTCAAAGAAAAAAAAATCAATAGTGAAGTATATAAAGACCTTCTTCACCTTTGAAGCAAGAAGTATATAGAGATTTTTGATAACATAAGGACTTATTTTTTACCTTCCAGTTACTGTTGGACCTCTTAGAGCTATTACTTTTATGGTTTTCTGAAAAATTTTGCCTATTTCAGTTTGACCCTAAATTTTGAATAGCACAAATCCTTATCAAAGGTGATTGATTGGCTGACATGAAACACGTTGGTTTCAAGAAAAGTAAACAAGCTCCTATTGATCATACTTACATGTCTCAATACATTATTGTTGATGTAGAAAAGAAAGTTTAAAAAAAATGTTCCCTCCAATCATATATATTTAACTTCCAGGAAACAATTATGATACTGAAAGGCAAGCGACTGATAGAAATAAAAGATTTAACTTCCATCTCTCATTAAGTTTCTCAAGTAATAAAAAGACTTTTTTGAACAAAAGCTAAGGTCTCCAAGCTTCTATCCTGATCAGGCAAAGTTTTTGAAATGATTTCTTTATTCTGATTAGGCAAACTCTTCTGTAATATGGTGTTGGCTTCACTAGAGATAAGTGAATCTATATATCGGTAGAAGAAAAAGTTCCTCAAACATTCTTCTTGAAGTCACTTTCAGAAATAGCTAAGTTTCTCAAATATCATGAAACTTAGAAAATATATTCATCAAAATCTCTCTTATATCATGTTTCTGAATCATAAATATTCCAATTAGGCAAACCTCTTTTGAGAGAAAACTGTAAAATGAAGCAAAAACCTTTTGAAGGACTTTAAATTATATTCCCCCTTCTCTTTTTTCCTAGTGTCAACTTTAGTAATTCATCATTTTTCAGAATAATCAATAGTGACTAACTGTTGACAATGGCCCTGGTTGACTTAGAGATACTATATCAAGCTACTAGAAGAGTGAAATATTATTCCCTAAATCTGACTTAGAGTATCTAGTTTAGACTTAGTTTTGTTTAGTTCAAATTAGCTTAGTGAACTCCTCATATTTTTTAAGTAGTATAATCCTTCAACTAATAATGTATAATGATGAGTTAGTTGCTTTGTGAAAGTCTGTAAAATATTTAGGTATTTCTCAATATCTCAATAAAGACATATCAAAGTGGTATAATTGTGGATTAAAAAAAAAAAAACACCCATATACTGTATATACTGTATAAGCTTACTTGTTTTAAATTTTTTTCTAAGATATTGAAAGTTTCTTGTACACTTAAATTAATAACATGTGCAAAATATCATAAATAGTTTTCTATTGCACTAAAAGATATTGCTTGAGTTTTACTCCATTCTTTTATCAATTTAGCAAATGCAATATTATTTGTAGCATTATCAGTTGTAATTTCCAGTATCTTTAAAATTAAATAAACTGTTTTAGTCTTCTATTATATTTATTTTAAATATATAAATAAATTTATTTTCATTTGAATCATAAATTTTTTTAAATATGATAAAAATGTTTCTTTAATACTTTCACTCGAATGGATTTCTACAATTGTATAAAGTCTATTGTTATACTCTATATTTTCCAATTTTTATCAATAAAATGGACAGTTATGTCTAAAAATGTTTTCATTAAAACTGATGTCCAAATATCAAGTGTAAATGAAATATGACTTTCTATTTCTTGTAATATTTTTTGAATTTTTTTTTTATTATTTAAATAAATTCTATTATATAGGTCTTAATAGAAATAGCTGATGGTATTTTTATATCTAGTACTAATGTTTGTATGAAAACAAAAAAAGTCAATTCTTGGATAACTGTAAAAGATTGTTGGTTAATAATGATCCATTAAACAAGTTTTTTTTTCATTTTTGATAAGTTGTATATTTACTATATATAAATACAAAAAATTTATGATATTTTTTTTTAAAATTTAAAAATTATTTGAAATTACCTTTGTTTTAAAAAAATTGGCAATTTCAGTGTTGCCAGTTATTATATTTAATTTTATTAGATGAGTTTTTTCAAGATGTTTCATTAGATTAGAAGTACTACTAATACTACAAGTATATATCATCCTGTAATATTTATAGGTAGCCTTTTTGTCCTCTTTAAAACTTGTACTTCTTGTAAAGTGTTTCCATACTTTACTTCTAGAAATTGTTAAAGTAATTAAGACCAATTCTGATAAATTGTTTATATTAGCAAATTAAAAAAAAATTCAATACTTGCTCTTCTTGATGATTTTTTAAATATTTCTTTGTGATATTATAGTTTTACTACTTAATTACTTTCATTGTATCTTTTGCTTTTACTAATTTATTTCTTTTAAAAATGGAATATGAAAACTCATTTAATAGCATACAATTTGCATATGATAAAAATAATAGTTTAACTAGCCATGACAATATCGATATTGAAAATACCTTTTATATTATTTTTTTAAAAAAAAATCCTTATTTTAATTTCTTATATAGTTTAATTTTAACTTCCTAGATAGTTCGATTTAAATAAAATTAAATAATTATATAACAATTTATGTGAATTGGTACATATCTGATCAGAATTATATCAAGTTTGATCTGAATCCAATTTGAATCTGATAATTTGATAAATTTAAAATTTGATAATTTGATTCGATCTGATTCATATCTGATTTACAGATCAATTAGATTCAGATCAAAATTGTGAACACTATCTTCAAGTATTTCATAGTTGACTTTTTTTCTTTAAAAACATTTTTGCTATTAATAGTAAAGATGTTATTTAACTTTTTTTTTATTATCAGAAGCCAATTTTTTGATTAAAAAGATTTATAAACAAAAGAGAAAGTGTAATAGCAATAAAACTTTATTAATTAGGAAATTTAAAAACTTTTATATATGATTAGAAAATTAGTAGAAAAAGTTTTTCTAATTTTGTTTGCCATATACTATTCAATTGAATATACTGTATATTTTTAATTATTTATATAATTAAAGTTTTTACATTTACTTTTATTAATTGATTTGCCTCCTGCCACTCGTATTTCTCCTATATATTTGTTTCACCACTTTTATTAACTATACAATATGTATTGGTACCTTGTTATTGACAAAACTTATGCTTTATTTATTTATCATCTTACTATCTTTACCATGTATACAAGTAAATCAAAATACTAGATATACTGTAGTATATTGATACTTTGTTTCTACTATACTATGTACTTATTTCAAAAATACTGATACAGAAAATGTGATATAACAGTCTAAGCTGGTGCATTCTTATCGTCAATAATTTGATCATTACTTTTTATTCAAAGCCATTAATGAAGTTAATATATTTACACATTTTTGAAAAAGAATTTTTGTCAATACCTAGTCAATTAGTAAATGTACAAAATACTTTGCATTCATAAGAATTTATTCGCAAGGATAATAAGACACATGCATGTGCAGTATAAAAGTATTTATTATCAAATTAATAAGCTGAGTCAGAATTATCCAACCCAAACTCTAGCATTTCTGAACATTCTCAACCACGGCCCTGCTTCACCCCAGTTTTTTCCTTGGTCCACCGGATACCACGAAAGTGATTTTTTCAGTAACACGCGCTCCGGGTGTGGCATCATGGCCAACACTCTTCCATTCGGGGTCTGCACCCCCGTGATTCCCAGTGGGCTACCATTCGGGTTAAACGGATAAATTTCCGTTGGGTCTTTGTAATGGTCTACGTATCTCAGTGCAACAAGGTTGTTTGATATCAATCGCTTCATTTGTTCCTCACTAGAAAATTCCGCCCTGCCCTCACCATGAGCGACCGCAATTGGAAGTATCGACAAATGCATTCCTCTTAGGAAAATTGAAGGTTTTGTTGCTGTTATAGCATTAGAGAAATCATTATCGCTCGGTTCTGAAATGATTTCTATTAAACTGGTTCTAGATTCAAATTGTTCACATTTGTTTTTCTTGAATAACGGCCAGTCCTCAGCACCAGGAATCAATTCTTTTAACTGACTCATAAACTGGCATCCATTACATACACCCAATGCAAACGTATCTTGACGATTGAAAAACTCGGCAAATTCTCTTCGAGCGTTTGAATGTAGCAACACTGATTTCGCCCATCCAGAACCTGCTCCTAGCACATCGCCATACGAAAATCCGCCACAGGCAACGATTCCTTTAAAATCCTTTAACGTTGTTTTACTTGAAATTATATCAGACATGTGAACGTCTATTGCTGAAAATCCGGCAAGGTGAAATGCGAAAGCCATCTCTGTTTGGCCATTCACACCTTGTTCACGAAGTATTGCTACCTTTGGTCTGGAAGACTCTGGTGACTTTAAGAATGGTGAGGTAACATCTTCAGAAGGATCGAATGTCAATGAATACTGTAGACCCGGATCATTGATATCCAATATACTATCGAATTCTTCCTGTGCACATGCAGAATTATCACGCAGGGACTGCATGTGAAAAGAGGTCTCGGACCACATACGTTGCAGTTCGACTCGAGAAATTTTGAATAGCTCGTGATCACCCAAATTAATCAAGATATCTTGAACTTCACCGGTCACCTCGGCAATATTGTGCAAATGATTGAGAGGAAATCCCGCCTCTTTAAATATGTGCTCTACTTTCACAAGGTTTCGTTGACTAACTTGTATTACAGCGCCAAGCTCCTCGTTGAAAAGTGCTCTGATAAAATCATTGTCTTGAACAATCTTCTCGAGGTTTATGTTGACTCCCACATGACCAGCGAACGACATCTCGGCAATGGAGACGAACAAACCACCATCTGACCTATCATGATATGCTAATATAAATTCGTTCGCATTTTGGATACCTTGGAAGAATGCTTTCATAATGTCGGTACTTTCCACATCTGGTACCTCATCCCCGGTTTGTTGGTAAACTTGCGTTATCGCCGAGCCACCAATTCTCTGTTTACCATTGGCTAAGTCTAAGAATACTAAAACGGTTTTTTCTTTAGTATCTGCTCTCAGTTGAGGGGTCAGTGTTTTATGAACACTGGTCACAGGTGCAAATCCGGAGACAATTAAACTCAAAGGAGCCGTGACCTCTCGTTCATCATCACATCCTTTCCACTTCATCTTCATCGACATTGAGTCTTTTCCGACTGGGATGCTAATTCCCAAAGCAGGGCAAAGATCCAAGCCTACTGTCTTTACGGCCTCATACAGTCCTGATCCCTCACCATCATGATTTGCAGCACACATCCAGTTAGCGCTAAGGCGTATATGAGAAATTGATTCGATATTTGCTGCTGCGATATTGGTAATCATTTCCGCAACAGCCATTCGTGCAGACGCAGCTTGCGAAATTAGTGCAATTGGAGTTCGCTCTCCCATGGACATAGCTTCTCCCGTGATGATTTCGACACCATATGACGACGTTGTGACAGCCACATCAGCAACAGGTACTTGCCATGGTCCAACCATTTGATCGCGAGCGACCAATCCGGTGATACTACGGTCACCAATGGTTATTAAAAAAGATTTGGAAGCCACTGTAGGTAGGCGGATTACTCGAGATATTGCATCTCTAAGCATTTCCGATTGAATTTTATAATCAAGATAAGTTTTTAGGCTTGTATCGAAAGGTGTACACACAGGCTTTATCGTTTTTGCTCTTCGAGACATCCTCGGTGGTTTACCGAATAAGATAGACATCGGTATATCAACAGGTGTGACATTCAATAGAGAATCTTGTAATATTAAATCTTGTTTCTCTGTGGCTATCCCAATGTCCGCATAAATACATCTTTCGCGAATACATATGTCTTTGAATATCTCAATATCTTCCGGAGCCACCGCTAATACATATCTTTCTTGAGCCTCATTACACCAAATTTCCATTGGCGACATACTCGGATCGACACTAGGAATATCTCGTAATCTTATTGTACACCCTAGCCTACTATCATGCGCGATCTCAGGCAACGCGTTAGACAACCCGCCAGCTCCAACATCATGGATCGACTGGATGGGATTAGAGTCACCTAACGAAGTGCAAGCGTCAATCACCTGCTGACAACGACGTTGCATTTCAGGATTATCGCGTTGCACGGATGCAAAGTCTAAAGAGGCCGTGCTAGAACCACTGGCCATCGATGAGGCTGCCCCACCACCAAGTCCAATTAACATTGCAGGTCCGCCTAGCACAAACAGGTGTGCGCCGGGTGTAATTCTCTTCTTAAGAACATGATTCGGTCTAATGGATCCAACGCCGCCAGTAATCATGATGGGTTTGTGATAACCACGAATTTCACTTTTGCCATCAGATGTTGAGACTTGTTGAATAAATGTACGAAAGTAACCCGTAATATTAGGTCGACCAAATTCATTGTTGAAAGACGCACTCCCCAGAGGTGCTTCGATCATAATGTCTAAGGCGGATGCAACATGATACGGTTTTCCAAAATCAACTTCCCAGGGTTGAATAAATCCAGGTATAAGAAGATTCGACACACTGAAACCTGTTAAACCAGCCTTTGGCTTCGAACCTTGCCCCACTGATCCTTCGTCTCGAATTTCTCCACCCGATCCTGTAGCTGCTCCAGGAAAAGGGGAAACAGCGGTTGGATGGTTATGTGTTTCCACCTTTGCAACCATATGCACATCCTCTTCCTCTGATGTGTATTCAAATTGCTTGCCAATATTGGGAGCAAATCTGGTGGCTCTGAATCCTTGTAAAACTGCTGCATTGTCGGAGTAAGCGGAGATGGTGCGTTCCGGGTGAGTTTTGTGAGTGTTTCTTATCATGTTAAATAATGAATATGGTTTCTTCTCTCCATCAATCTCCCATTCCGCATTGAAAATCTTATGCCGACAATGCTCCGAGTTGACTTGGGCAAACATGAAAAGCTCAACATCTGTCGGATTTCTTCTCAAGCAATAATCTGGATCACCACTCGCAAATGCGTCCACAAGATAATCGATCTCGTCATCAGTCAATGCTAGTCCATGCTCTCTGCTCCACGCTGTCAGTTTCTTTTTTGCCACATTGTGATCTATGCCCGATTGGTTGTCATCTCCGATCAAGCATATGAATCTTAATGGTGCCAGAGTTCCATGTTTAAATATCGTTTCAGAAGAAGGAATGTGTCTTGTAAGAATTTGCGTCATACGATCATGCAAATGATGGTCAAATAATTCAAGTTTCTCAGATATGACATGACGCATATCAACTAAATTCTCTGTACCTAATAAATAAGCGACACCACGTTCAATACGTTCTATGTAGTGTTCCAAGTTACACATGTGTGCAATGTTTGTAGCTTTTGACGACCATGGCGATATGGTTCCTGGTCGAGGTATCGCAAGGAAAAAATGAGTTTCGGATATTAAATTAGCTGTCGATGTTAACAACTCTCTAATTTTTTCGATGTTATCATTATAGTTTTTTTCTGTAGCTTCGGAAGTATTAATGGAATTTCCATAATCTAATAAACTATCGAGAACTTTTCTTTGAGCAGATTCCGGATCACTCAGAATATTTAACGCTTCTTCATTAAGTGGTTTCACAAAATGAACATAGACTGCGTTTATGGAATCAATTTCTGGAACGTAAGTTTGAATTGTTTTCAATAGAGCCTTCGCCTTGAACGCCGAAAGAGAAGGATTTCCCAGTAAGACGAGCATTTTTTTTTTCTTTTGTTTACGCTTGCGTATCAAGATCGATTCCTCGTGCACAAATGATTATCATTTACGTAGCGGGGGACAACTTTCATATGCGACTAGACAGTTTACGAACGCGTGATATTATTATTATTTTTTTTTTGCCTCGTAGGCGTAATTCGCGAAATCTTTATTTGGTAAAATTAGTGTACTCATCTATAAATGCATTATAATAAAATAATATATATACAGTATATATACTGTATATATTTTTTTTTTTTTGATAGTATATAATAAAAATTTTATATAATTTTCAACTTTAACAATTTTTAAATTGTTAATTATACGATCAAAAATTATAAAATTTACATACTGTATATTATGTCTTAATTTCTTTTTTTTTTTTTTTTTTAAGCTGGCTTGATCAAGTTTATTAGTGAAGTATTACTGTATAGGTACATCTGATTAAAAGAAAACCATTAATAAGCTAGTAAACTAATGATAGGTTAAGAAACCATCTCATGGCTAAGCCATATTCAAATAGAAACCTAATAAAGGAACCATTAGGGCAATATAAAATTTTTAAAAAGGGGGGGTAATGTGTGTATCAAATTTAATTTGTCTAGCTTAACCCAATACTGGGGATGTGTGTTCATATACAAATCTTTTCAAACAATTGTCTACTGTTAAGAGAAATAATTGAAAACAATAGCTATACAAGGATCAATAGAGAAGAGAGTTCTGCTCACATCTTGAAAGGACTTGGCAAGAGAGGGAGATTGGTAATTCATTATAAAGTCGACCTTCGAGATCACGCTATTACTACCACTTCTGTATTATTGGCTGGATACTCTTTGAGAACTTCATCAGTCGAGAGCACAATGTCTGTTCCTCAGTTGCTTTCAGTACTTTCATGTTGTAGTTCTTGTGTCTTCCAATTTTGATCCTATGTCTTGCCTTACCCTACTTATATTGAAACTTCTTTTGATATTTTTTCAAGTAACCAGACAAGTCAAAGGAATTTTCGTGAGTGTCTAGAACTAGGGTTGAAGAGAGTTGGGAAGGAAGGAGCTATAGGGAGGGATACGAGGGATGAAGCCTTTGTCATCCAGTGAATTTGTTCTTACTTACCTATTGTGATAACCTATCTAGAAAAGGAATTTTGGTCTTTTTGGCATGCGCCTTCACTGGCTTTAATAAATGTTGTTCTTGGAGTACTACCATTTGGAGAAGTTGATCCACTATGCCAATAATGACACCTCCTACTAGTGATTTCATTTTTCGATTAGTACAAACGATCCTAGGAAATCTTCCAGTCTCCCAATATTTCAGGCTTGTATAAGTAGATGATACACTTTCAAGGTTTTGTCTTCATTTTATATTTTCTTAAGCATTTTGTTCTTCTTATTTTCCTTAATGGCAGTAGATAGTTTTCTTGAAGATTATTCTCTTTCTTGATATTCATTGACATATTAAGAAACAGTGTCTCATCAGAACACGTGAATATGGTCAATAGAAGCTTGTTTACATTCTGACAACCAATGTGTTTCTTGTTAGCCAATCAGATTTGATGAGAGTTTGTACTATTTAAAATTCAGGATCAAACTGAGATAGGCAAAATTTCTCAGAAAGCCATGAAAGTGGTAGCTCTAAGAGGAAGCAGTAGTAAAAAAGGGAAAAAAATAAGTTTTTTTTACTATACAGCATCTCTTATATTCTCAACAAAGCTAGATAAGGCCTTCAGATACTTCACTATTGGTTCTTCTTTCTTTAGAAGCTTTCTTGTCTTTAGCAGTAAAGGTGTTACTTGATTTTTAGGCCACTGGAAGCCAAGTTTATAATCAAAGGGAATTGTAAACAAGAAAGAGAGAGTGTAGATAACTCTTTAAGGTAAACCTTCAAGTTGTTTTAAGGAAAATGTTAAGATT